CAAAATGAGCAAATGATTGCAACCCATCGGCAACTGGCTGCAGCAATGACTCTGCCTCAACCTGAAGTGCACAAGTTTAAAGGAGACCCCATCGAATATGGAACCTTTATCATGGCATTCAAGGCAAGGATAGAGTCCAGAACATTCAGGGCGGCAGATTGCTTATACTACCTGGAACAACATCTTGAAAGGGAACCACGAGAACTTATTGGAGGCTGTCTGCATATGGACCCTTCTGAAGGATATAAGGAGGCGAGGAGGTTACTGGAGAAGGAATATGGGGATCCCTTTAAAGTTTCAATGGCCTATGTGAACAAAGCTCTCGGATGGTCCCCAGTTCGCCAGATGACGATCAGGACTAAAGCGTTTATCGCTTTTCTTGATTAAGTGTAAAAATGCTATGATGAGCGTGTCTCATATGAATGAGTTAAATCATCCTACGAACCTGCAGACCATTGCAAAAAAAAACCCTCGCATCTCCAGTCAAGATGGCGTGATCGTGCTGCGAAATTGAAAGAGAACGGAAGGATAGCGAGCTTTAAGGATCTCGCTGATTTTGTGGTGTCAGCAGCCGAATCAGCGAACGACCCTGTATTTGGCGTGCAGGCTTTAAGTAGTACCCAGGAAAGGCGCAGAGATAACAGTGGGAGAGATGGCAAGAAGAAGCCCTCGTCAGCAACTAAAACAAGCAACAGTTTTGCCACTGGTATCACCATTCCCGGCATAGAGGCTGTAAACCATGCGAACCGAAACAATGCTGGTGGCAAGGAAAAGTTGTGCCCTTCTGCAGCAAGAACCATGACCTGGATGATTGTGCGGAATTCCTCAAAAGGACCATGGATGAAAGGAAGACATTTCTTTACGAAAGAAAATTATGCTTTGCCTGTTACGAATCTGATCATGTATCCAAAGGTTGTGTAAAGAGACGCACCTGCAAGAAGTGCAAGAAACGGCACCCAACAGCATTGCACATTGATGGTTTCACAATGAATAGAGAGAGCGTCAGTAACAAACCCCAAGCGACGGAAGTTCAATCTATAGCGGTTAGCAATAGGCGCATTGATGTCTCTAAACCTGTACAGGACGCACCAAGTTGCAAGGAGTCCGTAGTGCTACATGCCATACTCCCAGTTAAAGTTAAACAGAAGGGCTGTAACAATTCAGTTGTCACGCACGCGCGTTTTACGATAATGGTAGTGGCGGCTGTTTTGCAACCGAAAATATCAGGAGACAGTTAGGAATAGACGGTGTCAAGGTTATGCTACAACTCACCACCATGCATGGACAGAGTCAAGTGGAAAGCATCATTCTGGACGATCTTATCGTTACGAGCCTAGATGATGAGAATCCCATTGAGTTGCCTCGCTCATACACAAGAGATGAAATCCCAGCAGAACATCACCAAATTCCCACGCCCAGTCTCATAAATCAGTGGTCACACCTTTCCGAGGTTGCGAAAAAATCCCTGAGCTTGAGCCTCGCCTGGAGATTGACTACTCATTGGCAGCAATTGCCCGCCTGCCTTAGAACCATTAGAAGTTGTACCTTGTCGAAGCGATGGCCCATTTGCCCTCCGTCTCCGCCATGGTTGGACAGTCTGTGGACCTCTCCATATCCGAACTGATCATGACAAGGACAAAATAATCGCGAACCGAATTACAGTGAGAGAAGTGGAAACGCCAAGGAAATCATTGCTCCAACGTCATTGCTCAGAATGTTGCAGATGGACTTCAACGATCACACCGTAAGCAAAGCACCGGACGAGCGTGGGCCTTCTCAAGAAGACAGAAAGTTTTTAACTATGGTTGAAAGGGAGACGAAAGTTGTCGACGGCCACTACCAAGTTCCTCTTCCATTGCGACATAGCGATATTATCATGCCCAACAATAAGGAGCAAGCAATCAAAAGAGCAAACTGGCAGAAGAAAAAGATGTTGAGAGATTCTAAATACCGCTCTGATTACGTTTCCTTCGTAAAACGATGTCATCGCCAAAGGGTATGCACAAAGAGTTCCAAATGAGTTGCTGATACCGAACCCAGGCAAGGTGTGGTATCTACCCCATCATGGGGTGTATCACCCGAAAAAACCAGAAAAAATACGCGTCGTATTTGACTGTAGTTCAAAGTTTCAGGGCGTGTCGCTCAATGACTGTCTGATGCAAGGTCCAGATATGACAAACTCCCTAGTAGGCGTGCTAACCAGATTTCGTGAAGACCCCGTAGCCTTCATGGGAGATGTGGAATCCATGTTCCACCAGGTTACAGTTCCTCCTGAACAGTATGATTACCTCCGTTTCTTATGGTGGCCAGATGGCAATCTAGAAGCCGAGCTACAAGAGTATCGGATGGTTGTACATTTATTTGGAGCGGCCTCACGCCAAGTGTCGCTAACTTTGCCCTTAAGCGAACCGCAAGGGATAACGAAGATAAGTACGGTACCTTGGTTGCTGACACGCTGCGAAATAACTTTTATGTGGACGATTGTCTACGTTCCGTAAGCTCGGAAGGTAAAGCAGTCGAGCTGATTGAAGGTCTTCGCAATCCTGTAAGAAAGGTGGATTCCGCCTCACCAAATTCACTTCCAATAGTCGTGCAGTTTTAGAGTCTATACCAGAGGATGAGCGATCGAAGAAGTCAGATCAATAACTCTTGACTGTGACAACCTCCCTATCGAGCGTGCCTTAGGGATACAGTGGTGCGTATAATCAGATTGTTTTGGATTTCGAATCGTCATTAACAGCAAACCGTTTACAAGACGAGGAGTCATGTCCACCATCTCATCAATCTTTGATCCCTGGGCTTCATCGCTCCTTTCACACTTCTAGCGAAGAAGCTGTTACAGGATCTCTGCCGCAATGAAGATCTCGACTGGGATGACGACATTCCGAAGACTGCCGCAGTAAATGGCTAAGATGGTGTGGAGAGCTTCCGTTACTAGAGCAATTTCACATTGATCGGTGTCACAAACCGCCGGGTTTTGGCCAAGTTGTCTCCAGACAGCTCCATCTGTTCTCCGATGCAAGCCAGGTGGGGTATGGATGCGTTGCCTACCTACGTCTAATGGATAACATGGGTCGCATACATTGTTCCTTTTTTATGGGGAAGGCTCGTCTTGCACCTATTAAGGCCGTAACAGTCCCACGCTTAGAATTAACTGCAGCAACCGTATCTGTTCGCGTGGGACAAATGCTGTATGAAGAGCTTGAAGTTAAGCCTGAGTCTATCATCTATCACACCGACTGACGACGGTTCTCCGCTACATAAGAAACGAGCGGAGGAGGTTTCAGATATTCGTGGCAAATCGTGTGCAATTGATCAGGGACTTCACTAGTCCTATGCAGTGGAAATACGTGGACACCAGTAGCAATCCGCAGATGATGCCTCAAGAGGACTTTCCGCCGCTGGACTTCTGCAGCAGCAACGCTGGTCAAATGGTCCACACTTCCTAGGGAAATCAGAAAAGGACTGGCCGCAGCAGCCCTTTCCAGTCGGTGAGGTCCCAGATGACGACCCTGAGGTCAGAAAAGTTGCTTCCGCCGGTACCATGGTAATGGAAGCCACGGCTACGCCAGTTAACAAACTAATAGAATACCACTCGAGTTGGTATCGCCTGAGATTGTCGGTGGCCGCATTCCTTAGAATCAAGGCTGTATTGCGAAAACGGAAGGAGATTAGAGGCCAGGGTTCTCTCGAGATAGATTCCGACCATGGTCAGGCAAGGTCGGGCGTGAAGTCACTACAAGCTGAAACGAAGGTAGTGGGTGACTGCTGCGCACCGCCTCAGTTCAAGAGTTTGAAGAGGCCGAGATGGCCATCCTTCGCTTCGCACAGTTGCAGTCCTTCAGTAGAGAGTTTGACGCTCTCAGACAAGTCAGTGACAAAGGCGGTGGAGACGAACGGGTCGGGCAAAGCAAAAGAAAATGGTGCTGAAGAAAGCAAGTTCCCTAACTCGGCTGGATCCCTACATTCATGAAGGCCTCCTTTGTGTTGGTGGCCGCCTTAGCCGCGCTGACGATCTTCCAGAAGAAACGAAACACCCCATCATCTTACCTCGCAAGAGTCACGTTACGAACTTGATTATCAAATGCCTACACGAACGCCTAGCACACGCAGGCCGCGGTCACACACTTGCTAAATTGAGGGAGAAGTACTGGGTCACCGTGCCAATGCTGCTGTTCGTCACCTAATCGCAAATTGTGTTACTTGTCGCCGTAATCGTGCCCCTGTCGCTGAACAGAAAATGGCTGACTTGCCTAAAGACCGAGTGACTCCAGCCCCGCCATTTACGTATACTGGCGTGGATTACTTCGGTCCGTATACATGATCAAAGAAGGTCGAAAGGGACTCAAACGGTACGGATGCCTTTTCACATGTTTAGCAAGTAGAGCAGTGCATATTGAGACCGCCAATTCTCTCGAAACAGATTCATTTATCCAGGCTCTGAGGCGATTTATTGCTCGTCGTGGGCCTATCCGAGAGATCCGGAGCGACAACGGAACAAATTTTGTAGGCGCCAAGACAGAGTTACAGCAAGCAGTTTACGAAATGAACAACGAGCAAATCAGAAGCAGGCTGCATGTAGAGGGTACAGATTGGATTTTCAACCCACCGAGTGCCAGCCACATGGGCGGCATTTGGGAGCGGCAGATTCGCACTACCCGCAAAGTACTCACTGTTCTACTCCATGAGCATGGCTCCCGCCTGGATGACGAATCCTTTAGAACTCTACTATGTGAAGTTGAAGCTATCATTAACTCGAGACCGCTAACATTCGCTTCGAGTGATCCCGATGACCTCAACCCACTAAGTCCCAGCAATCTCCTGACGATGAAAACCAGCGTTGTACTTCCCCAGCAGGAGTTTTTCAACGCGCAGATGTCTATATGAGGCGGCGCTGGCGGAGAGTGCAGTACTTGGCAAACTTATTTTGGACGCCGCGTTGGAAGAGAGAATATCTCCCAACTCTCCAACCTCGTTCGAAGTGGAACAGTCCCAAACGGAATCTAGCTGTCGGAGACGTTGTCCTGTTGAAAGACGACAACTGCCCGAGGAGTGTTTGGCCGATGGGACGAGTCATAAGCGAAATCAGACAAGAAGGGGTTGGTACGCACGGTTCATTTGAAGACCCAAACCTCCCAACCACGCAGACCAGTTGACAAGGTTGTCCTCTTGCTAGCTAAGGAAGAACAATCGTGCCTCGATAATGAACAATGAAACAGGAAGCTCGTAAGGGCTGAACCTTCATGGAATATTCATAGTCCCTACTTCTTTAAGCGGATTGTGTGACGGACTAGACTCGTTAGCTTTAGCAAAGGACATGACAAGTTATTTTTCATAATTACTACTTTATTTTGTAGCTAAGAACTTTCCATGTTAAGCATCGCTTAAGGGGTCGGGAATGTTACTGCCGTTATGCGTGATGTCACGCACTCATTAGCTAGATCCCGAGAGGCGCTGCGAGTTAAAAAAAAAATACATGTGCTCGATCGAAGTGGAGAATCGTTTCAACGCCCGTTTAACGTCATCGTTTATATTATAAGGACACAAACGTAAGTTTTTTTTGGTTTCGTTTCTTGTTTGTCTAGCCTTTTTCCGTATTTATAGTTGTAAATTTCCTTTGTTTCCTTTTAGTTTTCGAAACCGTACAACGTTCGTTCAAGATTGTAAAGTCCATTTCATGATTACAAGTACGCGTGTTCAAGTTTGTGTTGTCGTACCGTTTTATGCGTGCACAAATGATATACAGTGAAGTTAAGAGGTATAAAAAGCTGGTTCCAACAATAACTGCTTCAGATCCAAATTACTGCACATACCTATCAGAGTCCTTGTGTGGGTCATAATGACCTTGATCTTTTAGCCAATGCAAACCATCCTTAAAATACCTCTCCATCCTCTCATGCAATTCCTTCCACCATCTTTCAATCTACAAAATAGCAATATAAAACTATTTTTACCTACCTAACTACTACCACTTTTTTCCCTTTTTTTTCTTAAAAAATTCAAAATATTGACACAATAGTGGGGAATTTCATCAACATTTTTGCCATAAATTTTGAAAACAAAAACTGGGCTATATATTATAGTGATAGCTGTAGTCAGCTGAATCCATTATGCATATTAAGTTTTAAATGCAATACCTAGTATTTGTCGGGTTAGTTTTGTGTAGAGGGTGGATGGGGTTGGAGGCATACAGGAAGCAGGCGGGAGTGTGAGGTTTTGACCCTCTATTGCCTATTCCCTCCCCTCTATTCTAGAAAAACATCCTGTTCCCAACTCAATCTCTACCAATTCAATTTGCTTAGGAAATAAACAGAGCATTTCCATACTTGATTTGAGATAGAAGGGCCATGTATGACTGTTTCGTGTGGATCCATATCATTGTGGTGTCTGCGAAGGAAAGCATGCATTGTGGCCATGGTCCCTGTTTTGGTTCCCTTATCTAATCTTAACATCGCAGATATGATCTTAGTTTCATATAAATGTTCAAGGTACCATCTTCCAATTAATTTGGGATCATGATTGGAAACTCAAACTTTCAACCATAGCAGCTTTTTAAAATTCACCGTACTTTTAATTTTCATGTCATTTTACTTTTAAATTTCATTTCATTTTACGTTATGTTTTATTTAGTTTTGATTTATACCTCAGTCAAACTAACATTTATTGCACAAAAATGTGATTTTTTTAATTGGCAGTTCTCGGCCACCATAATCGTGAAAACCATAAATTTAACCATGCGTTGTCGCCGGGCAATTTAAAGTAAAAGGACAATTATTTATCAGACTTTTATAAGCCTACATTGTGAATTTCAGATCAGGCCAACAGCATGGATGGATACATTCAATATCTCGAGACACTTTGTCGTCTTTGCAGCACAAATCTGCTGTGGACCAGGGTCAGTGCTGGAAACAAAGAATCTTTTAAATCGGAGCTCTGGATGAAATTTCGAATCAACATCGATCTTGACAGCAGAGAGGTTTATCCATCCTCAATCTGCTCGGGGTGCAAGTGATTTCTATATAGTGTTTGCATAGTTTCTGATTCAGAGGAAATTGCCATAAAGAAGGAACCATATATGTGGAGAAGACACTCTGAGGACAATTGTCCTTGTAGGGCCAGCATGTCGAAAGGAAAAGGGCGTCTCCGTAAGATCTCCAAACAGCCCATGAAATGGAAAGCAACAGAAACATGTGGAAGCAAAACCGAAAGTGGCGAAGACAACGAATCAGAGCAGGAAAAAAGTACTGTCAGTGGTTCTGTGCTGTTATGCACTACAATATGTTAATAGAAAAAGAGGAGGCAGTTACATGTGCCAGAAAAGTGGCAGGAAACTATAATTTCATCTTCTTGGACAAAGATAACATGCTATATGAAATAAATAAGCTAAGTACTGAAGATAAACTGTTGCTTACTTCAAAAATCTTTCGCCCAGGAAAGGAAAGTATGAAAACTGACATCTTGTCTTGTAGTCAAACATACAAGAATCTACCTGCTATGTTCAATGTGACACCTCATACAAGGAATCAGGCCAGAAACTCAATTTTGCATGGGCAATCAATGCCCTTAGCCACGAAAGTGTCAGACCAGTTCATAAGGCAGTAACCCAAGATCAGCTTTATTCTATTTTACAACCCTCTTTTTTAAGCCTATTGATGTTTGCTACAAATCTCTTGGTGTACTCTGTGACATGTAGTAAACTTGCCCTTAATATCCATAGTAAGATCCACCCTGCTGGAGGAAACACCACCGTCAAAACCTGGCTAAATAGCTTAATAATGAAAGTCCCTCCAGTTCCCTCTGGTGATATTCTGACAGCTATTGACAATGACCAGGTGCTTATCAGGAAGTGGACCGTGCTCATAAGTGTCTGTGTGGCACCTGTTTATCCCAATGGAACATTGCAGTTGGATTCAAATCTTGCTCCAGGGTAAGAAACACATTTTAAAAAAATGGTCAAATAGTTATTGAATACACAAGAATTTGTTTCGTTTAGTGAGCACAATCTTGGACAAGTCATTCCCTTCCTGAAAATGTTACCAGCATATTTGAAGGTCATGTACATGTAATCAATTAAAATGTGCGTACATTACCATATTAAGTTACAGTAAATTTGATAGACTATATCTTTCAGTTTTTTTTCCTCTTTTATTTTTATAATGTATTTAACTATTATTCCATGAGGTTAAGCATGATAGAGAGAGGCTTGTGTTATCAGCCAAAGCCTGAGGCAGATAACACAAACCGAGGCACTGATAATTCTCACTATCAAGCAAAAATCAAATTCAATAATTATTGTTCTATTTTGCATAAACTTGTAAAACAAGAGTAAATACAAGAAACTAAAATTGTAGGTCAACTTGTAAACAACTTAAAAGGTAAGCTTAAAACCTAAATGTTGCAGCACACTCCAAAAGTTCCCTACAAAATGAGGTAACAAAACAGTGCCAGCGGTAATTAACTGCGTTTTTTAAGCCAATCAAAATTGAGGTAGTGACACCAAGTATTACTAATTTGGTTCTCTCTTTTAGAGCACGGTACAGCCACATTGAGCAAGCTCAGACACGTCAAGACGAGCGGGAAAAGTTGGCACAGGCATTTTCAGATTCAGAACCTGATAATGAAATAATCCGCCATGAGGTCATTATACATTTGAAATTACAGGTGTACAAGAAAGGTCGTCTTCTTGTGGATGTAGTTAACAACTAGGAAAACAAACACTAGGAGAAAAAAACATTGTACAAATTTGAGTCTTAGCCAGCAAATTATGGATTATACTATGGTTGTTTTAGGACAAGCCTACTTTTGTGAGCATGTGTGAGAACATTCTTCTAAATGAAAGGCCTCCCATCTCTGAGTTAACAAGCAATTACATCCATGTACAGCTAACGTGTTGACTAATTTTATACCTAAAAACTGGTTATGTAAACTTTTCCCTATTTAGAAAAGAAATAAAAAATAAACTGTACGTCAAATGCTGAATTTGAATTTCTTAAGTGGATGTGGCTTCTCATGAATGAGTATTGTTACAATATAACAATTAAAGTCATGAGGGAGAAGGGTGAAAACCAATGTAAATAAGATAACTTTAAAGTTATTCCATTTGAAAAAAGCATTTAGTCTTTATTTAGCGATCAAGATCTGAGTTCACAAAATATGTTCAGTTACCATATTTACTGGAATAAGCGCCCATCTTTGAGGTAAAAAAATTTATAAATTGCCATAGCTTTGAGTTTCCCTCTCTCAGTAATCATCATCATCATAATCTATTACCAAGTAACCATTAGCAGTGTTTACTTTGACAACACTTATTTACACGCCATTATTGAACTCTTCTATGATCTTATTCTGCATTGGATAAAGGGATACCTGTGATCATGCTGCCTCTTCCTGGACCTCTCTGAGGATGGTTCAGCATGTAGCAAGAAACATCTTCGTTCCCTACACCTTTGTCAAAGCGTACATGCGATGGCATGCCATATTCATTGACTGCTTTTTCAAATACGTGAAATACCGTTGATGCTTTGTTATTGTTGGATGCACATAGATAGACAGAAAGTCTAGAGAATCTGGCTATTCCTCCATGAATTATTATTCTCCATCTGATAAATGAAATCAAGAAACCAAAACCTCTTTTCAGCATTTTCTAGGATCTATGCCTCAATGAATCAATACTACCACTCTTTGTCAACGGATGTTACGATAATGGTACCAAACAAGATATGATCATCATCTTTACATAACAGATTACCATAGCGACAGTATAACCTGTTAAAAACACCCCTAATTTTAACTTTCAGTGGTTATAACTAAAAAAAGAGATCATTGACCCCCATTTTTTAATATTGGAAAGCAACCAGTATGCTAAGGGGGAACGTTTTGCAAAGTTTAAAAACAGTGTAGGGGCGGAGTCAGAGCCACCTTAAATTTTTGGTTATTTATGGTGGCTCTGAATCGACTCCTGTAATTCACTTTGAAGTTTACTTGTAATAACCTTATCAAT